TCCTCCAGTCCAGCCTTTCGCATGATGTATTCTGCATATAAGTTAAATAAGCAGGGAGACAATATACAGCCTTGTCGTACTCCTTTCCCAATTTTGAACCAATCAGTTGTTCCATATCCAGTTCTAACTGTTGCTTCCTGTCCCACATGTAGGTTTCTCAGGAGATAGATAAGGTGGTCAGGCACTCCCATTTCTTTAAGGACTTGCCATAGTTTGCTGTGGTCCACACAGTCAAAGGCTTTTGTGTAGTCAATGAAGCAGAAGTAGATATTTTTCTGGAACTCTCTGGCTTTCTCCATAATCCAGTGCATGTGAGTAATTTGGTCTCTGGTTCCTCTGCCCCTTCGAAATCCAACTTGTACTTCTGGGAGTTCTCGGTCCACATACTGCTGAAGCCTACCTTGGAGGATTTTGAGCATAACCTTGTTAGCGTGTGAAATGTGTGCAATTGTACGGTAGTTGGAGCATTCTTTGGCACTGCCCTTCTTTGGGATTGGGATGTAGACTGATGTTTTACAATCCTCTGGCCACTGTTGGGTTTTCCAAACTTCCTGTCATATTGAGTGTAACATCTTAACAGCGTCATCTATTAAGATTTTAAATAGTTCAACTGGAATGCCATCACCTCCACTGGCCTTGTTGTTAGCCATGCTTTCTAAGGCCCACTTGACTTCACTCTCCAGGATGTCTGGCTCAAGGTCAGGAACCACACTGTCTGGGTTGTCCAGGACATCCAAATCTTTCTGGTATAATTCCTCTGTGTATTCTTGCCATCTCTTCTTGATGTCTTTTGCTTTTTGTTAGGTCCCTGCCATTTTTGTCCTTTGTCATGTCCATCTTTGCACAAAATGTTCCTTTGATCTCTCCAATTTTCTTGAACAAATCTCAGGTTTTTCCCTTTCTATTATTTTCCTCTATTTCTTTGCACTGTTCTGAAATAGAATAGGTTCCTCCAAAACTACCTTAGACTTTGGCCATTTGTAGAGTCTTGCTGAGGAAAATTCCAGTGTGGCCAAAAGCTGTGGTTCCAACGTTGTGAGGCAAGTTTGCTGTGGCTCCAGACAACTCCTGGCAGAGGCAGTAAGAGCATGCAGTCTGTCTGGAAGGTAAACCTGCCCAAGTGGGATTTTTTTTCCCGTACAAGGGAAAAGGACATCCATGCAGTGGGATTTGCCAAAGCTTATGGTCATAGATAGGTGTAGCTGCTGTTAGTTAATTTGCACAACCCTGTCTTCTCTGTTGAGCTACCAGCTGCTGGAGAAGTCTGCCAAGGTGGCTGCACTCTGAGTTGAATGTACCATGATAGCCACACACATCTGCCCTGCAGCTGAATTGACCAGGGCCAGATAGCATGCAGATATATTTCATCCATCTGCCTAATGTCTGTTTAGATACTTTCTGTCCCACCTTAATAGGTTGAATTTCTTTTTTAAAATAGCATTCTGAGACCCTAAAGCCTCTAGCTCTTTTCAGGTGATTTTTTTTAATATGCCTTCCTGATATCCAAGGTATGCAAGTCCTTTTTTGCATGGTGTACTTGTTTTGGGGTAAAAAGAAGGAAGTGGGGCCTCCTGGCCTTGATGGAAGAGAGGTCCAGGCGAAGAATCAGTGACTCCATCTGGATTAGAGAGACACGTAGGCCTGGCTGAAAGTGCACCAAGTTCAGAAACTCTTGGACAGCAGAATAGGGAAGAAAAGTACTTTCCAGTGTGTTTTAGAGACACTTCCCGTAATGGTTCAAATGGCACTTTAGTGAGAGGATGAAGAACATCATGGAGATTCCAAAAGGGGAACCTCATCAACACAGGGGGGGGACTTTTAGAGATACTGTTTGATGTCCATATTTCCATCCGAAAGGTTTCCCATGTTGGATGGAAATATTGCCTTCAGGGCTGCTGCTATCAGACTTTCCAAAGTGTTGGTCACTGGACATTTCTCCACGCCCCTTTGCAGGAAACCTAGGATGGTGGCAACTGAGGCTTTCTGTGCTGGCCTGCCTTTCCTGTTGCATTGTTGATGGAATGCCCTCCATGTCAGATCATAGATTTTATTAGCAGGATCTCTGCAGCATGCCAGCGTGACGGTGACCACGTCTTGTGGGTACCCCTTGAGTGGGCCCTTGGTTATGAGAAGCCATAGCCTGTCCTGAGCCAACTCTAGAAGAGTTGGAAACCTGGCCCTTCATAACCAGTGGAGAATTACTGGTATGAACCTTGCTTTTACCCTCCCAAGCAAGGCTATGCAGAAAGGTCTGTCACTGGGCTGAATAGTGAAATGTTTCAGGGGATGAAGGTGTGTCTTTGCCAAGTTCATAGGAAGCATGTTTTCTGCATCAAGCAGTATAATCGCATCCCTCCCTTTATTGTTACATTGTCAGTGCAGATCAGGATCTCCTGTCCTTGCATCACCTGAGAGAATTTAAGAAGGGCCAACTTGACAGCACTCAGTTGAAGCCAAATGATGCCATGGACCTGTTCCACCTGGGACCACTTGCCTAGTGCTACTAGTGCCCCTCGTAAGAGTGTTTCTCAGCCTCTAAGGCTGGCATCTGGTGTAATTTGCACCTTTGGGATGGAGAAAAGACTTGCCTTGTAAGAGAGCTGGGGAGGCGTTAGTGCAGAGTATGTTGGGATAATAGCTATCTTGCATGCACTAACACTGGGCATGGAGAAGAGGAGGTGTTACAGCCTAATTGGATTGACCTTTGCCATTTACTTGATTGGTAAAGTTCTTTCCAAGCTTCTGACATTAGAGGCAAACCCCCACCCTCTCTTCCTGTTGGCTTCCTTGCTTCCATTGTTGTTGTTGTTGTTGACAAGTCTTCATTTCTCTGTAAGCTTTCTCCAAGCGACAAGCATGGAGGGCCTCTGCATGCTATAGACTCAATTTCCTTTCCTAACTGTAACTATAGAGGGTAACTGAAAGTAAAGGTATCTTTTTCTACATTAATTTTTTCTAGAGTGATTTTATCAAAGTGCTACTTTGGGTGCAAAAAAACCCCTGCGGAGTGGGGGGCTGATGAGACTGAGCTGATCTCTCCACATCTCTGTAGTTTTTTCTACCTTCTACTTTGTTAACTGGAGAGCATAAAGTAAAAAGAGTATAATAACAAAACAAAAAAATCCCCAGTAGAATCAACGTTCCAGTCATCTTGATTCCTAAGTGCATCCTCTCCATACATAGAAGAGAATACAAGGACTGTGACAGAGGTGTCCGCTAACAGCATGGCACTTGTTATCTGCTGCTAACATTGGCAGGAAGATTGAAAAAATCTCTTTAATCTGAGGATGATTTGCTCTGGAAGAAACAGGCTTTTCCCGTGCCCCTGATTAATGCCATGGAGATGCTGAAAAAGAGAAACTGAAGGGGAAGAGACCTCTTGTAGGTCTTACTCAGAGAGATACCTTCGCAGAAGTATCTAGATCTGTAAGATCCAGCCTTTGGACAGCCTTCCTCACAAGAGGCCCAAAAGGTGCAGGTTGGAACCATTTGGGGGAAGAAAATGCCCAATTTCTCAGGCCCTTTTCCCCTCACCCATTCACCACCCTCATCCAAGAGGTCTCCTGCACCCCAGACTGAGAGGAAGTCCTCTACTGATCCTTCTCCTCCTCCAAAGTAGGGAGATGAAAAGTCCTCCACCTCAAGTTAGGTGCTCAGAGGGATCTTAAGAGCCTGACTGGTTTTAAGCAGGAGGTCTGCTACTCACATTGTAAGAGTGGGTGTCTTTTAAAATAGTGCTTGGCCTTACAGGCCCCTTCCATCTCCCAGGACTGCTGGAATGGCAACAGTGTAGGGGGGGAAAGGACACATGCTGTTTCTTTCTCCTTAGGAAAGGGCAGAGGAGGGGGAGGATGGAGGAGAATGGAGAGAGGTGGGGAGAAAAGCCACTGGTGCCCATCGAGAGGCTGACGTGGTAGGGGGGAACAAATCCTTCCTGTGTCTCGAAGCTCCCCTCTCCCATCCTGTATCTGGATAATAAATGGAAGTGGCAGAAAAGACCACTCCTACCTATTTGGCCACAATGTTCCTTATTCCGGAATAAAACTGGGTGAAGGTCAAGCGGTGGCAGGTTGGCATACATTACTTGCCCTGACCTGTCATCCTGGTCCAACATGGAAGTCAAAAAGAATTTTTAAAAGGGGAGGGTGCACAGAGAGGTGAGCAAAAGGACTAGAAGATGGTTTTGTTTGTTTGAAGTCATAGAAAGAGTGGAGGAGACAAGAGAGTTTCCCATCAATGTGGAGGCAGGAACTTGATTAGAGCTCCAGGTAGTCCTTACCATTAGAGAGAGCCAGGAGCTCAGAAGACTGGTTATGAGCACCCATCTATTAAGATGAATGGGAGAAACAACACACACCAAGGAAATCCTTCCCTCCCATAGGAAAGGCTTTGATTTTCTAAGTGGAAGGATATCCTCCTTCTCAGTACAATGGCCGAGCTATCTGTCCTGCTAGAAAGGAAAAGGTGTTCCTTGGTTCCCTTTGTTAACACTTAGCACCAAGTGTGAAAGTACTTTCTCATTTTCCAGTTTCTGTTGATGTGAAGAAAAATACAGATTTTCTACAATCCCCAATTCACCATTTCTGGTATCCTCTCTTATTTTCAAGAACAATGCCATGAAGAATCAATAAGGAAACGCCATGATCAGTATCTGATTGAGAAATACAAAACACAAAAGGCAGTAGCATAGGTGCATCAGTTTCCCAGTTGCATGCCTCTGTGGCTGATCCCGCAACCAGTGTAAGAACAAACAGTTGAATGGGGGCTTCTCAGGATGTTTGTAGGGTTTCCCTATGTTTCTGCGGCAGGATACTAGCTAAAATGTTCACTTTCACAACAGATTGCAGCCTTACAAAGACTGTGGTACAATCAAGTACTGAAAATATTCTTCTGATAGCCACCACTTCATATTCAATAGACCACAAAACAATATTGATCATGTTAAAATTTACTTTAGACAGCCTATACCACAATACAAAATACTCCTGAGAAAGGGAGAGCAGTTTTTACAGAAATGGGAGAATGATCTCTGTGGGAAGAATGACTGTTGCCACTATATTTCAAATGATACATTCAAATTCAGCATTGACCCAGAGTGGCCCACTGAAACCCATGTTGGCAGAAAGATTTAGGAAAGGTATAAATAGACACATAAAATGAGATTGCTATGGTAGCAACATTTAGAGTACCCCCAGCACTAAATGTACATTGACTAGAAAACTAGGTAATTAAAATAAGGTTTCAGAAGATGCAAGATGAACATGGCTATACAGGTAGGTTGTTCATTAATGCTGATGACACTGTCCTCTGGCATTGAGTTGCAGCCTGTGTACACTAATGAGACACTGGTGTTCCATTTTTCACATGGCCAAGTTCTGAGTGTACATAACTTCTTTTTGAAGTCATTTGTTTCACTAAATATAATTAACCAGAAGAGTACAAGTGCGGTTTCATCACACACGATTTCCCAATACAATGGATCGACACTCATTTCCTCGAAGGATTATAGCTGTTTCTCTGAAATGAGCAGGATTACTGCTGGTGCAAAATCATTCCCTTCTCTCCAGCAACAACACACAAATGAAACAATAATGGGGTTTTTTGAACAGATGGAAGCAGCTTCTGAGCTACAAAAACCTTCAAAAATGATCATCTCCTTGCAGTTTTCCTACTAACATGCTGAGTAGGTTCTGCAAGTTATTCCCCTACAATAAATGTGATAATGACACTGAATACTTTACATTGCACAGTAAAATTCAGATAAAAGTTCAGCTAAACTAAGAACAGATGTCTACAACTGATACTGGTGCTCAGTACTGCTGGGAATAGTGAAGGGGCAGCCTAGGACTTTATTGTAGCTGTTCATAAGTAAGTAGATGTTCAGAACTGAAGCATACTTCATTTCAGCAGTGGAGAAGCAAAGAAGTTGCCCTGGCGTCCAAGACCAGTTGTAGACTTGCTTTTGCTCCCAAACCTAGGTAAGAAATGGAAAAGGTTAGATCAAAGTTTTCCCGCTGAGTACTAATATTTGCTTTGCTGATGACTATCCTCTTCCTTGGTACCTTGCAATATGTATCTATAGCTTGTGTTTGCCCAGTCTCTGACCCACATCTTCACTCTTTACCACTGAATGGTTCATTATATATAAATCAGACAGAAGGTGCTCCCTACAGATTCTACTGCCAGAGTGGCTAGGTACAAAAGATAGGTAACAGCCCAAGATGCCAAGGTTAGTGCAGGTAAGTTTATAATCTTTAAACATATTCCCGTTCTTTCTTACCCCCACCCATCCTACTGAACCTCATGTTGCCAGCATTCCTAAGTACACAGCAGTCTTTTGAAGTTACATTTACACACGGTTGGTCACTTGGAAACTGGAACATTAGCATTCTGCATTCTTCACCTTTTACTAGCTTCAGCAAAAGTGGCTAGAGGAAGAGGCAAAGGAGGAGGCTCCTGTAGTATACAGTATCATGTTCGGGGATTACACCCAGAGCAAATAGCACAGCTTGCCTGGGAAGAGTCTGTGTTTAAAGAGAAAATTGATATAGGAGACCCATATATGTCTCACAACAAGACAGACGGCATCCATTTATGCTGAAGGTAAGTAGAGCTTGTTTCAAACTCAATTTCAATTCATTTCCACACAAATTTCCTCCGGAACCTTCATCCTCTGAGTGTGGATTAACTATTCCATTTGTTCCACAATATCCCATCTTGTCTCATCAGATTTCAAAGTACTCCCCTGCTCAATTATTATATAGTTTGAAATGAATCACAGAATGCTTGAGCCCCAACACTCACTGCCTTATTACCCAGCTAAATTTGACTGCTAGGGGGCCTGAAGGACTCAAGCAAAGGGTAAAGGGAAATTTGTTGGTTCCTGAGACTAAAGAAACAAGCCACCCAACTTACTTAGGTGTTGTTCTGCCAAATGTCGATTTCATCTTCTGCGACAAAGAACTGCTTGAAGAAGTCTTCACCAGCTGCTGCTCTGGAGTGGTGACTGGTCCCAACATGCTCACTTTGCAACAAGACAACACAGGCATCACACTGTTGTTACCACACCTTACTCAGAACACCAAATAGCTCCAACCTTAGTGATATAATTTCGAACAGCATAAGGAGCAGCTATTCATTATTTAACCTCATGTATGAAGTGGACATAAGAATATCATGAAGTGGCATTTTGCACTGCAGTTCATGAAACAGTGGAGCCGCCCTTCCTCCAGGTTGGAAAAAAGAATTAAACCCCAATTGCACATGTAGCCTACTATTCAGATTCGGCAATTTGCTTCCTCATGCCATCATTCCCATGCGCGCTTATACTAATTCAAATAGCACAACGTATTTTACTAGTAAAATGTAAGGAACTGGAAATTAGGAGAAATATAATTGCACATGTAGCCTACTATTCAGATTCAGCAATTTGCTTCCTCATACCATCATTCCCATGCATGCTTTCTTCCCAGAATTTTAGATCATGCAAACAAGGAAACAATTTACAGTATACTAATTCAAATAGCACAACGTATTTAACTAGTAAAATGTAAGGAATTGGAAATTAGGAGAAATACGGGTTAACCCTAACACCAATCATCAAAAGACTCACTGCTGTACTGAATTGCATTATATGATGGCCAAAGGACCCACTTCCTATCACTGGTTTTCAACAGGCAGTCAAAGGCACAAAAGGAGTGCGCTTCCACTACCATATTATAATGGAGAGGAAGATGAATTTGACATGGGTTACTCTTTCTGGCAACCACATATTTTATGGCATACCTGCTTGCTATCTGTGTCTGTTTTGCTGCCAATACAGTGGTGCCCCGCATAACGAGCGATTCGTTTAATGACAAATCCGCATAGCGATGTGTTTTTTGCGATCACATTGTGATGTTTCTATTGGTAAAACATCGCTTTGTAATGATCGGTAAGCATTTTGCTTAGCGATTTTCGCATAGTGATGGTTTTTTACCAGCTGATCGGCGGTTCCAAAATGGCTGCCGGGTAAAGAAAATGGCTGCCTGCTGTGTTTTCGCGCCCTTTCCTTGCTTACCGGGCAGCAAAAATGGTGGCCGCATGGAGGATTTCCGCATAACGATGAGTTTTTTGCCCATAGGAATGCATTAAACGTGTTTTAATGCATTCCTATGGGCTTTTTTGCCCTGCATAGTGACAAATCCACATAGCGACGATTTTTTCAGAATGAATTATCGTCGCTATGTGGGGCACTACTGTATACTGTTTAGGATGATGCAGTATCAGCTAGAGGTGGGGGCATTCGTATACGAATATCCCCATACAGGTGGCATTAATGAGGGTCCAGCCCCATGGGGCCGGACAGTCGACTCACGGATCCACCACGGATGCGGGTGGTGCGATTCTACCAGTGGCTTGCCACTCTTCGACACTGCAGCGAGGCTTGTCCTACAGCCCCATGGGGCCGGACAGTCGACTCACCGATCCACCGCGGATGCGAGTAGTGCAATTCTACCAGTGGCTCCACAGGGCGCAATCCGCTTGCCACTCTCGACATTGCAGCGAGGCTTGTCCTACCTCCTCCTGCCAGGAGTGGTGAGCGGATAGTGCACTGCGGAGCCATTGGTAGAATCGTGCCGTCTGCATCCGTGGTGGATCAGTGAGTGCCCCGTCCGGTCCCATAGGGCTGGGCCCTCGTTAATGCCACCTGTGCGGGGATATTCACACACAAATACGCCCATCTTTAATCACAACTTTTAGCACCAAACAGATGACCAAGAAAAATGAAGAAAGGGAGTTTCAAAATAGACATGAACTGGATAAAAAAATGACATGTTGAAGTGCAACAGCCTGAATTAAGACTAGAACCAGCACCTGGCATTAAAAAATAGGTGTGAAAAAGAAGACTCCTTGTCAAAATAACTGTGTTTCAGCTAGTGCATTTATAGTATAATTACTAGTGATTTCAAATAAAGGGCATAATTACCTTTAACATCTGGTGTGCAAGGGGTGGAGTACGCATTTGAGTTTTCAATTATATGTCCAGGCTCAATGTTTTCCTGCTCCACCATCATGAACTGAGTCCAATATTCTGTAGGCAAGCAGATTAACCGCTCCACAACCTAAAGAAGCACATGACGTAAGTGACTAAACTCTACTTTGGAAAGTCGGAGTATACTGTCAGTACAAATGGATGCTGTGTTGTCCTTGCTCACTCTACTGGCCTACCTTAGGTTGTCTCTTTGTGTCTTGCAGTAGGGTCATGGGATCAGGATCTGGCACAGCATGGCCAACAATTGTAGGTCCAAAGACTTTGGCTAGGTTAGAAATATCCATTTTGGTATCTGGACTTTGAGCCACTCTAAATAACATAGAGAGAGATATCTGAGATAGTACTGATGCAATGAAACATTTCCTCACACATTTGCCATTTTTGGCTTATCAGGTATTCAGGATTTAGTTTGTGCTGCCGGTAAATGCTACAGCAGGGGTTGGCCACTCCAGGTGTTGTTGGCCATCATAGCCAATGGTGAGGCATTGTGGGAGCTGAAGTCTGAAAACATCTGGAGGCCCATAATTGCCTACCCTTCCACTAAAAGCAGTGTTCCCCAACTTTGGGCCCCTGGAAATTCTTGGATGACAATTCCCAGAAATCCTAGCCAGCACAGCTAGTGGTGAAAGCATCATGGGGTTTCAGTCCAAGAACATTTGAGGACCCAAGATTGGGAACTACAGCACCAGAGCCTGAAAAAAATGGAATCTCTCTTATATTTCCTCCTCAAAAAGATACAACCAAACTGTACTCACCGCTGAAGATGTAACATGAGAAAAGCCAGAGTATCCCTGTTAGCCTGAGGGAGCTCCCCAATGGTTTGATATATGGCTGCCACACTATTATCCTCATCCATTATTTCTATAAACAAAAACAGAGAAAATGTGTTTCTGTAACCACTTTCAACATATTATGAGACTTCATTAAAACAGAGAGCAAGCGTTTTGATCCATTTTATGGGCTAGCAGTACATTATCAGCTCTGCATCAGTTAAGTGTTACTTAATATTCTATGACACGCAGTCAATAAACTGCCGGACTCCGTATTTACAAAGGGAAAGTTAATTTAATTAGACAATGTCTTTGGGAGCTTCTCGGTGTACAGGAAATGAGACATGGGGCACAGTAAAATCATCTGCTACATGATACAGTTTTCAATATGAAACAATGGAATAGACGTATGGGGGAGGGGAGTAAAAAATCATGACACTTCCCAATATGGGCAATGCTCCCTTCCTCTAACCTACATGTTTTTTTGTTCCTCTTTGGAATTTGTAAGAGTAGTTATCAGGGATAAGTGTGCTCACAGCAACACAATTTATGCTCTTCCTAATCAACTAGGTACGTATTAAGGGTTCATATTTTTATCTATTACACATAACAGTGATAGAATATTTACCAAATAGTGATCAAACTGGAAAAGAATTATGCTCTACAAGAAGCAGCAGTGAGTTATTTGAAAAATAGATATCATCCCTTTGGGTGGTACAAAGCCATTGAGAAGAGGTTTTTAATACAGTAATAATAGCTTTATGTTATATATTCTTCAGCCTCTGCGGCATTGTTGAATTTTCAGTCAAAGAACTCGGAAGATAAGAATACAAGGCAGAAGACGGTGGCCATTATCTTCTTTGTTCAGTCTCTTAACAGCAGGGGATCAAATTAGTAGCTATTTCCCCCATTTCAGACAGAAGTACATCATATGGTGAAAAACTCAAAACTACTGTTGTATCAGTTTATTGGCTGTAAGGAGGCCAAAGCTTTCATTTACCACATTGGTCACCACCTGCACATAATCTTCCATTTTGCTTACCAGCAGCCTCCATAAAAGGCTTGTTAAGACGGAAGGTGAGGAGAGGCTCCTTAAGGTTGCGGAGGAAGTCTTTCAGAAGGCCACATATAGCATGGATGTCTTCCACCTTGATCAGCAGGGGCAGAGTTTTCCCTCGAAGGAACTTTTCTTTCAGGTCTTTTACTGTGCGGTCACAGCCAGAAATACGGTAGAGGCCTGTCTATTGAAAGAGTTATCTTGTGAAATTATATCCCAAACACATTTATTAAAAAAATCTGTTGGCTTCCCCCAAAATACCCACTTCCTACTTAGAATGATAGGCATAATCACTGTACATGAAATTTAGACAGAAGCTGTGTGCATTTTCAAATACAGATTGTACAACACCTCACCCCACAGCAGCAACTAGATGGCGAGCTAGGTAATTTTCTGGGGGATATATATTCACCCTCCCCTGTTATGGTGGCACCACAAAAGAAAGAGCAAGATACCACGAGTCGAACATAGAAGTAGTAGCAGCAAAAATCTTTTTAAAAAAAAAACAGTTCGTGGACAAGGCATGGAGAAACAATTCATCAAGGTGTGTGGGCCCTGGCTGTCTTCTTTATTGTGAAAAAAATTATGATGTCCTATTCCCACTTAAATTTAGCAGCGCAGCAGCATCAGAGGCTGCATGTGGCCTGCCTATTCTCCTGTTTGAAAAAATTCCACAACCAAGGTCCGCACCTTACAAATCACGCTTACCTCATGCAGTCCTCGCTGTTCTATTTCGTTCACACAGTGAACTACAATAGAAGGGATCATTGGTGGTGTCAGAGGTACAAAATCCACAAGAGCTCCCTGAAAACAGGAACATAGTGATTTTTATTTTGGGCTTACAGAAGGAGTTGTAGGAGAAATGAGATATTTGACAATGAACTATCCAGAGAATAGTTGTTTGGATAGCTCCAGAGAACTATCTCTGGATAGTTCTGCATAATTTCATTACCAAAAACAAAAAACAAAAAACAAAAACCTTTTAAGCAAAGTTTGCTTCCCACTATCCCATTCTAAAGCTCAAGTAAGACACAACTGTCTTACGGAGAGCAGCCAAAACATGAAGAGAAAATAATGCAGCATTAATGTCCTCAATGATTCAAAAACAGTTGCATTAAAAATGCTTGAAAAAACTTCATACAGTCTCTGAATAGTGTAAAATGATGTGTACAGGAATAGTACAAGATTAACAAGAAAGGCTACAGTATTAAAACACAAAATATGCATTCCCCACCTTGCCCTATGTGAAGCTGAACACATGACACATACCTCAGCAAAAGAGAGCTAAAACTGTTATACAGTTATGTACAGCTCTCTTCAGGTATGTATGCTTAAAATTAATAGTGTTCCTTCAGGAGTAGTCTTTTTTGTTAAATACAAGGGAATAGTATGACATTCTCTTTATTACTGCAAATATTTTAATAAAAGAATTTCTATATGAATGCTTGAATAGAACATTTGCACCAAACATGCTAAATCAGTTAACATAGAGCACTGGAAAATTCCAATTCTAATTTTTCCAGAAAACCTGTATCACTGGACCTCCAAAATGTCCTATTATCAACAGTGCTACTCAGCTTGACCAAACTGAAAACTGTGGCTTCCTTTAATGAGCCAATCCATGTCTTATTTATGTTTAGGCACTTTTTATTCTAGGGAGAGTCAGTCTTGTTTTGTCAGGCAGAATAGACCTTCTCCGCCTTCCAATTATGTGGTCCATTTGATTATCAACTGGTGATGTCCATATGTACAGTCACCTGTTTTATTATATTGGTTCATTGCAGAAAAATAGCATAAAGCTTAATAGGAAATAAAAAGCTCAAGTTTTTTTGTAGACCACAGACTAGAGACCATCTGAAAATTCCAGGGTAAGAGAACGTTTATTTTAAACACTGTGGCCAAAATCCTGGTGCTTAGCATAACGAATCACAGTGTGAGTAGGCCCATTTGATTCAATGGAACTTATGGAGTTGATTTACAAAATCCCCACTGATTCAAGTGGCCTACTCTAGTGCAATTTACTATACCAATCAACAGGATTTTGGCCCACATGTGTATCTTTTCACACAGTAACTGATAAATGCATTTAACAGTTACATCAGCAGCAGCCCTCGAAAGCCAAGCGGTGTCCTCAAAATACTGTTGCAAATTTTGGCACAAAAGGAATCTTCTGCGGAAGGAATTTAGCACAAATTATTACATTGCCCTCCATGCTCTATTTCACCCACTTAAATCTCATTCGCTAGCTATCACAGAAAATTGTGCAACATCATATCACTGAAGGTGTCTCATCTCATCCGAAGCATACCTCTCCAATTCTGACGGGAGTGCCTGCTAAAGTAGGTATGCAGGGCAGGGGGCAGCGCTCTCGACATTCTGGGTGCGTCACTACCCGGCAGTCTCGGCACTTCAGGGACAGCTTCCCAAACTTTATGCGCTTGCCGCAGGGAACACATGATTCGGGTTTAATAACCTGGGGAAAGAGCATGTGTGTAAAACCTAGAATGTGGCTTAATAAGCATATAATACATAAGCATAAGTGCTGAAATATAGTCTAGATGAAAATAGATAGAATTGGTACTTTATTCCTTTGCTTTTATCCTAGGTAAAGGTTCCTCTTGACACTTAGTCCACTTGTGTCCGACTCTAGCGTGCGGTGCTTATCCCCGTCTCCAAGCCACAGAGCCAGAGTTTGTCCGAAGACAGTTTCTGTGGTCACGTGGCCAGCATGACTAGACACAGAACCTTCCCACCATGGTGGTACCTATTTACTTGCATTTACATGCTCTCAAACTGCTAGGTTGGCAGGAGCTAGGACAAGCGACGGGAGCTCAGTCCATTGTGTGGATTCAATCTTACGACTGCTAGTCTTCCAACCTTGCAGCACAGAGGCTTCTGCAGTTTAACCTGCAACGCCACCACATCCCTTGCTTTTATCTTACTACTCAGCTAAAAGGCTCTCAAAACAGCTATCTCAAAACAATGGAAAGTTAATGTTAATTGAAAGTTAAGTGTTAATTTTAAAAACATTAAAATCACTGGGAAGAAATCCCAGATAATAAACCATAATGGCAACCTTAGCAAGTGATCAAAGTGCCTTCAAGAACATACGTTTTAACCAGCTTCCTACTCCATGTCAAGCTCATCTCTGGTTGCGGTACTAAGCCACCTTACAATACACATCTTAGTTGCCACTGTAGACTGTTAGAACAGAATTACACTTTGACAAAATGTGTGCAAAATGTAATAATTAAAAGACAGTTTTTTATAAGGCCCAATTGAATAAACAAACCAGGGTTACAGACTGGCTGCAAACTGAGATGTGAAGTTTGTGAATTATGGTTAAGCATCTCTACCACACAGATCATGGTTAAAGAAGTCCCACCCCATATCCATTCTGTCTGAAAACTGTCAAAGAGAATTTGCCGATGCTTCCCCAGACATGCCCTTCTGGGCTGGACTTCACCAACTATGCTATGGTTTTCTACATATTCGACATCTTAACCAATTTTAAAACAGCGAAGATTAAATATGTTTGCACTCAACCTAAAAGGATATCTGCTCAAAAAGCCTTGTTCCAGCTCTCCTCATTCCAAAGACGCTGGTGCTGAAAACAGTCCCAGCTAAAGTTCTCCAGAGTCACAGGCTTGTATACATGAGAGGGCAGTTCTCATCCCAGACCCAAAATGTTAGGAATTTAAAGCAAAGGTTAAAATCAGGCCCTGAGATTGGTAACCTGCTTGGTACCAATAAAAATTAAAATAAATAAAAAATTAAAAAATGAAAAACACTGCCCCAAAACACAAAGGAATCATATAAGCTGACTGCTTGCTCACCGTTTTTGAGACAAATTCATGAAGTCTCATCCCAGTGTTCCCAGGAGTGCTAAATCCATCTGTTTCAGATTTACATTCCAGTTGCCTGCTTCCCAGGTTTGAATCACTGTTCCAAGGCTGTAGAATGGCTTGAGTGGAGGCAAAGAGACACTCATTTTATGCATTCTGTTTCTAAGAACAAGTTTCAGATTGGCAGTAGTGGCTACCAGTTTAAATGAGTGAAGCTAGCGTTTCTCAGCATGGACGTTACAATTATTATTTGCAGTGGCAACCTAATGTAGCTGGAAAAAGGAGTTTCAGGATGTCTAACTAAGCCTCTCCACTTATAGTTTCTGAATTAAAATAACAAAGGCTTGACTTTAAGAAAAAAGCAAGGTGTTACTTTTGGATCCTTTTCTCAGCAAAGAATCTGAAGACTTGAGAGGGATATTTAGCAGGCAGCTTTCAGGGTACCTCCTTAATCCTTGTTAAAGTAGAAATAGAAACAGATGTGTATAAAGGATTTAGGCAGGTCAGATTAAATATTTCAGGAATTTATTTCCCCCTCTTTGATTTTATAAATAATGACAAGGAGAAATTGAAAATGGATAGAATCATATGATGTAATAGAAGTAAAGAAAAGGCTGCTTTTAGTTTACTCATAATAAATGTCAAACATAACTCAGATACATGTTGCAATTTTATAAGCCTTGCAAAAGATTACTCATTTGTATTGGCATCAGTACAGCTCTAGACAAACAAAGGCCAGAGGCTGTGGATTCAAGAATGTCATAGCATTTTAAGTTAAAAAAACTACGTAATAATCAAAAACCAGACACACACCTGTGTTTCTTTGGCTTCCAACATAGTAAGGAACAGTCTCAAGAGTAGAGATCGCTTCAATTGGGCCTCCATCGTTAGGTACAGTTAGGGTTGTTCTTGCAATTATTGATTCATTTCCCTAAAATGAAAGGTCCAAGAGATTAAGAATTGCAAGAGTCAGTTGAGGGACAGATGACAAGTTAATTCTTCCCAGTCAGGTGACACTTATGATCTATTTTACTTTTCTTAAGATATTACGCATCACAAAAATCCTGATTTCAGAATGTAGGTATTCCCAGTGCAACCAAAGAAATTGTCCCGTTACAACCCAGTGATTTTTGTATTCACATACTATCTTCCAGCCAGACAATCAAAATCAAAGGATTAACAGGCAAATAACATATCAATGGCTTTAAGGTATAGTGTACCCCGAGACAATTCTCTGCTGCTAAACCATTCAAAGCATTGTCAAAGATCACAGCATGTAGGCTGTTCACAAAACATGCATGTCAGATCCTGATAAGATGCCCGATTTCCCCAGGAGTCCTACAGAGGTTTATAGTACTCCTTGGACAAATAAAAGAAGCCTATGGTTTGTCGTAGCTGACATTATTCCTTTGTAATCTCTCACTCTTGAACAGACAAGGTATCAAACCTTGACATGCACAAAAAAAGGTAAACCCATTGAAAAGGCAGGAAGCACTAATATTTCACTTTGTTACGTTGAAAACAGGCATGGCTTGTGTCTGAATAGGAAATCACCTCATGTTCTGAGTTTTGTTCAAGAAAAATGGAATACAATAAGGTAAATAATAATGTAAATCACAAAGGGATCACTGTAAGATCAGATGTTGGCATTTCAATAAATGCTTCTATAAAAGGACTGAACTGTGAATTCACAAGAATAGGTACTGATCTACAAAAAAGATTGCCATATACCCTGCAAAGGTGCAGAGATGCTGATTGGGTTGACCACACACATCATACAATGGATTGCCACCTTAAGAAAAAAAAGAAGGAAGCTGTCAGGCACTTGTTGTGACCGATAAAACTATACATCACACATCATACAATGGATTGCCACCTTAAAAAAAAGAAGGAAACTTTCAGCCACTTGTTGTGACCGATAAAACTATACATGTTGTGTCCAAGATATCTGAAGTGATCGATCTCTGTGTATGAGCTGACTAGATTTTAAGACCTTTGGGATAGGCCCTTTTCTTGATTCCACCACCTTCACATACATGTTTGGTGAGGATGTGAAAGAAAGCCTTTTTCAAATGATTGCTCCCAGGTTGTGGAATCCCCTCATTTGGGAAGCCAGGTCGGCATAGACTTCCCTTTTTTGATAGACTTGTAACAAGAGAGTTACAGAATACCATTGTGCACTATTTTGTTTCTCGTGAGAATCTGTTTTTCTGGTGTGTGTTTTTTAAATTAGCAATTTATAAATATTGCAGTATGTTTAATCGATTTAATGTATAACTTTTAACTGCACTTGTTTTTAATATTTGTCAGCCACCTTGGGGCCCTATACCAGGTAAAAATTGGCACAGAAATGAAATGAAATAAAAAGTTGTAATGGAAAACAGTATTTCTCTATCTTACAGCTTGAGTATGGAGAAACAGTCATTAACAATGCATGTTAGCAGTAAATGTGGACAGTCTATATAGACCTAAACAAATAATGAGAACCAGTATCTATTACTGAACTTCACCCTCATCCACACGACTCCCCCATGACATGTGCTGAAATTATCAGCCACTTCACTCATAAGAAAAGCAATACAATCTCAGAAAACCACATACTTGGTCTGCTGTAGCGCCAATAGAACGAGTTTTCTTTAAAGGACCAGGTGGGCCTTCAATAAACTGCCTGGATGAGCGCTGTTAAAAAAAAATAATATTGTGTTTGGATCAATATGTTACAGCATTTCTGGGAGAAAAGCAAGTAATTTCTATTTATGTAGTTCAATACTACATTCTCTCCTATGTATTTACAAGGGAGGTAATATTTTTGAAAGCGTCTAGGGGAAAATGTACAGTAAATAGGCATGAGACTTTCAGATATTTTTCATTGCCGTTTCCAGAATTTGCCAGAGATTAGGAGACTGCTAGTCTATCTGGTCATTAGGTTCTATGCTGGGTCTCTCAAAAACTAGTTCTCCAATCCAGTGGTTCCCAACCTTAGTTCCCCAGATGTTCTTGGGACTACAGGTCCCAGAAATCCTGGCCAGCACAGCTAGTGGTGCAAGCTACTGGGACTTTTAGTCTAAAAACATCTGGGGAGCCAAGGTTGGGATCCAGTGCCCTAATTCCTTAAAGCTCCCATGGAACATAACCATTCCCATCCATATTCTTCAGCCTAATTACTGTTGTTCCAAAGACTTGCCAAGGCAAAGGTAAGTGTTCTGAATCTCTTGGATTTTTGGCCACAGCTACCAGAATTCTAGCTGGCTGGGAGTTGTAGTAAAAATAATTCAAATGCCCCATGCCTAAGACTGAATCTTTTTCCTTCTTGCTTCGTTGGCACACAAAGTAACCAAACAAAAGTGAAGAAAGCTAAGTGGAATGAGAGGGAGAAAGAAATATATCTGACCTTAAGATTTTTTTCCCCTTGAATAACTGTGAAAGAGAATTAAATGTTTTGGCTGTATTCTGTTGTAATCACAAATATGTTGGAAATCATAACCTCCATCTACAGTGTCATGGAACGGGCTTATCAAAACTGCCCCATTCAATTTGAGCCCCCTACTGCAATGCATTTGTAGCGGTCACCCTGTCATGCGTATTCAACAGGGCATTTGCATGAACCAACAGGGAGCTGTCGGGAGGCACAGCCAGCTACATAGAAGAGGGGCTGAGGCGGAGAGTGAGAGACGGAGAGGGAAAAAAAGGTGGAGAGAGTTTGAGGAGATAGATAGTTTGCGAATTTTGTGGCAGAGAGAGATTTTAGTGAGTGAACAATCAGAGTGTTACCTGTATTAGTTAAGTACAGATGAGGTTAAAGGAATATACTGAGTGCTTTGTGTAACTTTAAGAATGTGCTTAAGAACTATTCACGAAACAGGGCGTAACTAATAAACCTGTTCTTATTTCAAAGTTAAGTACTGAATGGACCTCAGTCTTTCACAGTAAACATAGCTGGTAAAGCTATCAACTGTAAAGATATCAGTAAAGAATGTGGTTGATGCCTGAGATTGGGTACATAATCTAGGTACACGCAAGAGGAACGTCAGAGATTGATGGTGAGCAACCAGGTACTGAGAGAAGTCGTGTTAGGTTGGAGGACGGTCGTGACAGCATTAAATATTAAAACAAAATTCCAGAGTTGGAACAAGAAGCTTAGAGGGAGAATATCTTGCAACTTAGGTAGCTCTCTAGACAATGCCAGCTTGATAGGGTACTTGTTCAATTGACATAAGGAGAGCAAAAGTTTCTGAATGAATGAAGAAAAATAAACTATTACATATGTACACTGACATATACTTTAACTGTCACACTCAAAATAAAGCAGAAAAATATTTGCTAGCCAGATCATTTATAACTATTGTCCTCTTCATACCATGATGAGATCCATGATGAAGTAAAGCACACTGAAATATGCATTTAGACAGACATTAATGCAGAATTCAGTCAAGTGTGCTGAGATTGGTTTCCATCAGATCACATAAGCTAGCAAATGGGAAAGAGCATACATACTCTTTTTTCTCTTTTCTTCAGCCTAACAGTCTTCATTACTGTGGAATCCCAATCCTAGAAATGAGAGCATATTTTGCTTAGCATCATATAGCTGGCAAATATATATTATATATATTATAAATAAAAGCTTTTTGTTCAGTTCTTTTAGCTTCTTACTAAAATGATTAATCTTATGACCTGTAGGCCATAAAATATATATTTGGTATGGTATGTTAACATATAATGGAACTGGGAAGGGAAAAGTTAATAATTCAGTATATTCAGATGAAGGACAAATCACAAAATCAACACGCATCTCCTTACATAGAGTCATATCTTTACATCTGTCAATCAGCACAAGAAATAAAAACAAATCAAGGTTACATTACCAGAGATTCATCAGTCTTGTCGAAACTGATGTCGGATAAAATTGAACCAGATTCATCAATCGTTGACAGTCTAAATATAAAAGCAATGTTTTAGAATCATGCATGTGAGAATAACATTCATATTTTCATACTTCACTTTCATCAGGACTCTGTGATTACTAATCAATTACCTAGAAAGACTAGGAGGAATGTCGCAGCATATGCCTGTATGTGTATACAAATATACCATTACATGTCTAACACTGAAGATGATAAACTGAAAGTTTCATTTTTCATTTTCATAATCAACACTGAAGATGATAAACTGAAAGTTTCATTTTTCATTTTCACAATCAGTCCTCTTTCACCCTCATTAACAGGTTCTTTAATTCCTCCTCACTTTCTGCCATCAGTGTGATATCATCTGCATATCTGAGGTTGTTGATATTTCTTCTGGCAATCTTAATTCCGGTTTGGGATTCCTCCAGTCCAGCCTTTCGCATGATGTATTCTGCATATCAGTTAAATAAACTGGGGGACAATATACAACCTTGTTGTACTCCTTTCCCAATTTTGAACCAATCAGTTGTTCCATATCCAGTTCTAACTGTTGCTTCCTGTCACACATATAGATTTCTCAGAAGATAGATAAGGTGGTCAGGCACTCCCATTTCTTTAAGAACTTGCCATAGTTTGTTGTGGTCCACACAGTCAAAGGCTTTTGCGTAGAAGCAGAAGTAGATGTTTTCCTGGAACTCTCTGGCTTTCTCCATAATCCAGTGCATGTTAGCAATTTGGTCTTTGGTTCCTCTGCCCCTTCGAAGTCCAGCTTGTACTTCTGGGAGTTCTCGGTCCACATACTGCTGAAGCCTACCTTGTATGATTTTGAGCATAACCTTGCTGGCGTGTGAGATGAGTGCAATTGTCCGGTAGTTGGAGCATTCTTTGGCACTGCCCTTCTTTGGGATTGGGATGTAGACTGATCTTTTCCAGTCCTCTGGCCACTGTTGAGTTTTCCAAACTTGCTGGCATATTGAGTGTAGCACCTTAACAGTGTCATCTTTTAAGATTTTAAATAGTTCCACTGGAATGCCATTGCCTCCACTGGCCTTGTTGTTCTAAGGCCCACTTGACTTCACTCTCCAGGATGTCTGGCTCAAG